CTGGGGAGAAGCCCTACAAGTGCTTGGAGTGTGGGAAGAGCTTCAGCACAAGCACCCGCCTGCTCCGTCACCGGCTGATCCACACTGGGGAAGGACCCTATGAGTGTGGGGAATGTGGGAAGGGCTTCAGCTGCAGCTCTGACCTGATCCGCCACCAGCGCATCCACACTGGGGAGAGACCCTACGAGTGTGGGGAATGTGGGAAGAGCTTCAGTCAGAGCTCCAACCTCGTTTCCCACCAGCGGATCCACACTGGGGAGAGGCCCTATGAGTGTGAGGAATGTGGGAAGACCTTCAGTAAGTGCTCCAACCTCATCATCCACCAGCGCATCCACACTGGGGAGAAGCCCTATGAGTGTGGGGAATGTGGGAAGAGCTTCAGTCAGAGCTCCAACCTCATCTCCCACCAGCGGTACCACACTGGGGAGAGGCCCTATGAGTGTTCTGAGTGTGGGAAGAGGTTTCAGACCAGCTCCAGTGTTCTCCTCCATCAGCGCATTCACACGGAGGAGAGGCCCTTCCGCTGCCCCGACTGTGGGAAGGGATTCAAATACAATTGCAGCCTTGTCAGGCACCAGCACATCCACACCGGGGAGAGGCCTATGAGTGTCCTCAGTGTGGGAAGAGCTTCTCCAGGAGCTCTAACTTGACCCAACACCGAACGAGGCATCAGTGAGGGAAGCCATGTCTGTACCCTGAGCGTGGGGAGAACTTTCTCCTCTGCTCCAACTCCATCTCCCATCAGAGGACCTATGTTGGTGAGAGACCTGGTGAACCATATTCCCCATGTTTCACGTTGGAAAAACACCTGGCTGGTGGTGTCCACATTCCCCTAGATTCTCATAGGCATCAGGCAAGATGCTATTTGGGAGGATTTGAGGATTCTGAGGGGATATTGAAGAGTTTTCTCCGTAGCTTTACACTCCAGAAAATGGAAGGTCTCGCTGTGTCACCTCAAAACCACTGAATCCCACTGCAAAATGTTCAGTCCCTCCTCAAAGAGGCTCAGTCCCATTCCAAAATTACTTGACCCTACAGCCCCCTCCAAATCCCTGGGAGGGATTGGATGGGCATTTGGCGGGTTGGGAGGAGGTGGGAAGTGCATGCGGGGTTGATGGGGATTGGGAGGGTGGGATGGAGTTTGGAATGAAGAACTGAAGGTTGGACATGATGAGGCCAGGGGAGATCTCCTTTGTGGGTATCCCCTACATGTCAGGGCATTTGGGTTATCCCTCATTCCTGAGGGGGCTTTGGGGGTACCCTGCAATCRTGAGGAAGGGTACAGTGAGACAGGGGAAGACACGTGGCTCTGGCACTTGGAGTGAACACCACAGGGAGGGA